ATCAGAAAGCGACTTGCTTTTGCATTCAATGGTGTATATAGTTGATATTCTTGTGAGACTGTTTCTCATTTCACTGTCGTTCTTTATCTTGTTTCTGTATCCTCGAGTAGGTTTCGAGGGTGGAGCTTTTGGATGAAGTTCAAGTGAGGGCAATCAACCATGCTAATGGGAAAAATTTGCCTGAAGCCCCAACTTTGATGTTTGAATTTATTGGCACAGGTGAGAATTTGTCATTGTTTCTACATACATCCGTTTATCTCTTCAGAATAGAAGTTAGTGAGGGTAATGGCATATGTTTTCATTGTTTCTACATACATCCGTTTTTATCTCTTCAGAATAAAAGTTAGTGAGGGTAACGGCATATGTTGTTTGAGGTTTGATTCATGCCATCTTCTACTAGGCTTAGCTAGGAAACCATTAAATATCTGTCAATGAAGGGGTTCGAATAAGTGGCCCTGAAAGTAATCCAATTTCTTCGGGCAACTGAAAGTATTACTTCAAGTTTTAATGATGTTCCAATGTAAGCGTGGACTATTAATGGATGAACCATGTCGTCTACTCATCATGTGTTTGTTTTGTTTGCCTATGGTGTTTTATATCTGAATGTCCGCAGAAGCATACTCAAGAGAACAGACACTTATAGTTCAGAAGATAGCTTCACAGCACAATAGCACAGATTTTGTGTTTGCAGAGGATCCCGAAGCAAAGAAAGAACTTTGGAAGGTATGTCATAAAAATTAACCTAAAAGATGAACCCAACTTAAGCAATCTCCCATCCTTCTATTCTTCTGTTTCTCAGGTGGCTAATTTGATTGCTACTTAGAAAATTCAGGTTGAGTAACTCTTTCACCACTTAATCTAAGAGTAGCTGGTAATTGATATCTATTAGCTTTGACATTCTGTCAGCTAAAAGCTTAGTCAACCCTATATACAAAGATACTTCTGTCGACTTGCATTTCCTTTGTATTCCATTCAATGAGTTTCTACAAAATCATCTGCTGTTCTTTTTGTAAAATATTTTAGGCACTTGCAGTGTGTTTCGTGCATTATTGTTTGTGTTTCTTCATTACGTGCATGTGTGACTCTTCATGTTCGCTCTCTCTAATTTGAAATGTATTTCCACTTGAGGAATATACTCAGTTAAATCTGATGTGCTTAATAAGATTTCATACCTTGGGAAGCATTTAATTCAGATCCAACTAATTCATGTCCTTCGATATCAAGTATTTTTATGTAAAGTTTTTCGTTAAGGAACATATTTTATCTTTTGGCGTTCAACTCCAGTATCATCATAAATCTGATTTTGTTCTTCAAAACGCTGGCCATGCCCCAGCAGTTCTCATAACTATAGGATAGATTGAGTCACATTATTTTGAGATTGACTTTCAGTAGGTTCTGGTTGAAATGTATTTGTGCTGTACTCCTTCTCTGTCACCTTTGTTGTCATAAAGTGACCAATGAACAGGAAAATATCGTGATGAACACGAGAAAGCTATGTTCATTTATCTTTGGTTTACCTGGTACACTATAATTCACTTACCAACCTAATTCTTGGATATCCTTGAAACTAGAAAGTAGAAACTGCACTTCCTTAACACTATTGCTATTTTTTTTATTCACGCCTTTCTTTACCTTTCCTTTTTTTTTTTTTTTTCTTTGTATCCAATGCTCATTCTTTTCTTTATCTTGGTTATATTCGAGTATCTGAAGGTAATGCAAATGAAACAATGGTCTGTTCTGGTTCTGAAAGTAAGCTGATATTATATCCTTTTTCCCTTTAGATAAGGAAGGAGGCACTTTGGGCTTGCTTTGCCTTGGTACCAAATTTTGAAGCAATGATAACGGTTTTGTTCCTTTTACCTTATACTATATTTGTAATTTACTTTCACAGAATATATTTTCTTCTCTTGGAGGTGCTTGAAGCCCCTTTCCGACGTTATAGCATTTCTCTCTTTTCCCACTTGCTCTTTAATGTGTATAATTTCCTGATATTGCAGGACGTGTGTGTTCCCTTGTCACGCCTTGCAGAGCTCATATCAAGATCGAAGCAAGAGCTAGATTCTTCATCATTAGTGTGGTATCATATTTTCATTTGTGAAAGCGCATGGTTTTAACACTCCCTACAGATTTACTTTGCTTTTTCTAATTCCGCACGTCTGTGTGTATTATATACATGATGCTATAACAGCACTGTTATTGCTCATGCTGGTGATGGGAACTTCCACACCGTGATTCTTTTTGATCCCAATGATGACGAACAACGAAAGGAAGCTGAGAGATTAAACCATTTCATGGTGCATGCAGCTTTAGATATGGAAGGTACATATTTTGCCAAACAGTTTCAGTTCCTATAATGATATCCTTTCGTTGGGAGTTAATAGTGGGGTTGGGTCGAGTTAAAATTAGATATTAACAATTATGAGATACAAGGGTTAATCTCTGTAATCACACCATGACTGTACATGAGCCACTGGTTAATTTGAACTTGTTCCATCTTAATGATGTTATAATTCATCGTCAACTTGTCATTTTTTACTCTCTTTTACAGCCTTGGAAAGCTTTAATACTAGAACACTACAATTTTCATTTCTTAATTGTTTGGAATTCTGAGTGAGCAGGGACATGCACTGGGGAACATGGTGTTGGCACAGGCAAGATGAAGGTATCATTCGACACACATTCTGCTGCCATTGGATTTGACAAACCTAGTAGAGAAACATAAAGAGTTGACGTAATCGATGAAAAGGAACCAATAATGAGGTTTTAGGTTAATTATTAGAGGCTCCTCATCTTTCAAGGTTTGCATTTGTTTTAAGAATTACCCACTAACTGCGAAATTTGTAAAGTGGTTAGTTAGTTGATGAGTATTTGTAATTACGCGAAAAATTAAGGATCTAAATCGCAACACTCAGTAGCTTGATTTAGTTGAGGTTGCTAGTGGAATCATTACTGTCATTCTAACCATAGTTTTCCCCTGTTTATATCTCATGACGTTAAATTTAGATGTCGCAGGACATTTAGATAGAGGTTGTAATTATTTTGCTGAGAATTTTTTTGTATATTACACTATACCTTTTTAAGTGATATATCCATTATTTGTCTCAGTATCTAGAAAAGGAGCTTGGAATGGAGGCATTGAAGACTATGAAGAGGATTAAGGCTGCTTTAGATCCCAATGATATCATGAATCCAGGAAAGCTAATTCCTCCACACGTTTGTTTCTAAGCGTGATAGATTTTGTACGATTGTTGTACTATAGATTTTTGTACGATTGTTGTACTAGATCACACGATCATTGTGAACAAACGTTGAGATCGACATAAGTTAAATTATAACGATGCACCTTTGTGTCGGTATGTGTAAGAAACTACCAATAAAGGGAGTTAAATTTTCCTCTTTTTCTTTTTTCACTTTTCCTTGTTTCTCCCATTTTAACTACGAGGAACTAGCAGGCATAAAAAATTCTCTGTACCTTGTAATGTGAGCCCTTGAACTGAATGATGCAAATTAGGCTAGTCAGGTGCACTTCTTGTTGAGCTGTTAAGGAGACAGGGTGAGCCTGAGCACTTGATTCCCAAACTCAGCACGGGCATGCTTGACAAGATTGACGAGCTTGGAGTAAAGCTTGTTTCATCTTGTAACTTGTATACTCCAGCTGGAGGACCCCTATAAAAATCTTGTTATCAGGTTAAGCTTGAGCTCGATAGTTATGTGCTTCCACGAGTACTATCGTTGGAAGTACCAGAGTTGCATTATTGCTCATATTCACTTCAAGATATTGAACCGTATGTTACTGGAGTCAAGCTTGGCTAAGACGAGTCGTGTTCTAGCCTTAACAGGCTAACTTGAAGAGGGCCACTTGGTGAAGGGGAAGGAAACAAGAAAAGGGATTCTTCTCTTAGTGCTAAACGAAGCAAATTAAAAATTGAAGAAAATAAAAAATAACCCCATTCATTTTCAGCTCAACAAGACTTGAAACTTCACAAATAATTAAAAATAGGAATGAAGAAAACTCAGAATTTTTTCTCTTATTTCTCAGGTCTCTAGAGAACGGGGTTTTATCACTGCTAAATAGAGAAAGGGGAAAAAAAAAAAAAAAAGGAATTTCGCTAGAGGAAGGGCTTGAACCTTCGACCTTGTGGTTAACAGCCACACGCTCTAACCAACTGAGCTACTCCAGCTCTAAGTTTAAACTACCTTTTTCCAACATTGAATTGGTCTTCACCTTTTGTCTAAAAAGGAGGGACAATTCGTGCGATACTTGATTATGAAAATTGTCATTATTCTATGGTTGGATGTACTAATCACAACATCTTTTCAAATATTATTTACTCGTCTTATGCGTCTTCAAATGTTATTTTGTGATGGAGATAAGGATGTTTAGAATCTTTAATTATTATTATTATTATTATTATTATTAGTGGTATTATAGATTTGTTAGGAAACTTATTATTTATCACTTTTGTTAGGATTCTTGTCTTGTTAGACAAGTTAGTATTGTTAGGATTCTTGTCTTGTTGGACAAGTTAGGATTAGGGTTTATGAGTCTTATATAAAGGACTCACCCTCTTTTGTTATCTCAAGTTGATTTTGAATGAAAAAAATATATTGTTGAATTTTACGTGTTTTACGAGAGAGTATCTCGTTTACTCGTTTATCATTCCCACTCGTACGCTTTCCCTACGTCATTTTGACATAAATTATTTTAAAATGAATGTCTTGTCTGAAACAACATAATTCTACAATTATATTATCTATCTAGTTTTTGTAGCATCAATCTCAATTATTTTACATAATGACCTGTGTTGAGTCAAGAAAGGCTGCATAGCCACCTTCTTTTGACAGCACCACAAAGAAGAAAAAAAAAATGCAGCATTTAATAAGCCGTAGTTGAGGGTTGTTGTAGGTAGCCAAAGTTGACAACATTTCACCTCTATAAATAGAGGGCTTTCGGCAGAGAACAAACCACAAACAAATACAAACAACACAAGAGAGAAAAAGAGAAAAAGAGAGTGAACAAGAAGCAAAATATTTTAGCTTCTGTGTGTATTTGTGTTGTGAGTTGTGAGTGAGTTTGCTGAGTGTTTTGTAAACACGAGTGTTTTCTTTTCTCCTAATAAAATATCTGCAGTAGTCCGGAGACGCAGGCATTATTGGCCGAACTCCGTTATCAAATTGGTGTGTCCAATTTTTTATTTTTTATTTCACTTTTATAGATCCGACTTCATGGAAATTTCAGCGTATTTTTCCCAACAACCTGTTCGCATTGCGATAAGGAGGCTGATCTTCAGTGGAAGGCACAATATAAAATTAAGGAAAAGTTGAGAAAGGTGACACGCAATTACATTGACAATCTTTGGTAGAGGATTATATTTAACAATTTTTCTTGGCCATGATTATCCCCTTATATATAATTTGTCAAATGTTTTGAACTTAAGTGATAGACCCGCACGCTTTGTAATCGATAATACTATATGACAAAAAAAAAAGTTTCATAACTAGGCTTAGATATATATTAATATTTTCTTATAAAATAATAATTAATCTTACATTGCATTAAATATATGTGTTATTCATATTAAATCGATGATTGATTTCTTCCTTCTTTTCGTATATAATTAGTTACCATAAACTATTTTATGTTTCCTTTTCATATTTATCATATATTACATTCACTGTTCTAAAAATCGGCCTAGGCGGCCGCCTAGCGCCTAGACGCTAGGTGGTGCTCGGGCGCCTCCGATTTGCACAAATCGGTAGAAAAAATCGGCCAGACGGCGCCTAGGCGAGCCTAGGTGCTCCTAGGCGGACTTGGCGGGCTCGGCGGCCAGGCGGTTAGACGGCGCCTAGGCGGGCATAGGCGGACCTAGGCGCTCCTAGGCGGGCTCGGCGGGAATTTTTCAGTTTTTTTATTATTTTTTTTTATTTTTTTTAATATTAATTAAATTATTTTGTTCTCATGTTTTATTTTGAATATATTAATTTTATTATTTGGCATTAGGTGTGTCGATTTATTATAAGTTGAGATAATTTTATTTTGTAGATAGTTAAAATTAAAAAAATTAAGATATTTAATATTGATTTCTAGGCCACGACTAGGCGCCGCTTAGGCTCCGCCTAGGCGCTCTAGGCGCTAGGCGCTGGTCGAGCGCCTAGCGGGCGTCTAGCGACTTTTAGAACACTGATTACATTTCATTTTCTTACTTAAATCATACACCAATGATTATAAATGTGTCATACTCTTATTTTTTAAATTTTATAACTTTTTATTTTTTTTATTGTTTATATATGATGATAGCGTAGGACTCTCCGACCAACTGGAAATGGTTTGTTCGTGCTCTTCCTCACTGTTAGAGCGCCTTGTATATGCAATAACTCTCACACCGAAGGAGTTTTCCTATGAAGAGTCTCCGATGCTTAAATGAGTATGCATAGAAGATGAACTCTCAAAGAGTATAATGAACGTAATCACTAAAATCGCAAGTTTCACCCCTATATATAGGGGTGAGGTACCTGTTTCTAGAAGGCTGTCCGGATTGAGCTGAGCTGGCTGCCCTAGCTGCCCGGTCGTACAACACATACTGAAGGTGTGCCAGAGACAGTTAAATGACACAGACCAATCAGGTCGTGCCACATGTTCGTACCATGCCAGGATTTGATTCCCCTGAGGTCTCCTTGAAGGTTCGAATGTTCGACCAAGTCTAGGTCAGTCTGAGGTGGAGCACTGACCGCTCCAAGTTTGGGTTCTGGTCGTTCACACGACCATCTGCTGCAGTAGATCGAGTTCGATTAGGCGGCCTTTGGGCACTGGTTCGACCTACTTTTCCTGTACCGGAATCCCCTTTAAGTTATCTTCCTGCCCAGAGGCTCTTAACCTGTGACGTTCAATCAGAACCATTCTGTTCGACCAGATCTGTTTGGTTTATTCGACCGGCTCACTTGGCCGATTTTACTCCTTTAGGTGCAGTATCCCATATCATATGATAAATAAAATTTATTATATTTTAACGATTTTCAATTTGACATTCGTATTATACATATAAAATATAAAATAGTGATATATATCCTTATATATAATTTTAAATTTATTTATCAAACTAAATTAAAAATATAAATAAAAACTAAAAAATATCTTATGAAAAAATAGAATTTATTTATATGAACATATCATAAAAAATAATTTGATTGAAAATAATATATAAACTAAGTATGTATGAACATAAAATAAATATAAAAAAAAATATTCTGAAATTTATGTCTCAGCTTAAACAAGCACTACAAAGAAACTGAATATTATAATTATACTAGGAGCCTGGCGGTTGTGCTATGCAGAGCCGGCCCATGTTAATATTCGAATTGAGTAGAAAAATAACCACGACAATTAAATAGTTTCTTCTGTTATATTTTTTTCACTATAGTACAAACAATTCGGTTTTGAGGCAAAAAAAATTGGTTCTGATGGTATCGACTCTAGTAAAGCACAACCATCGACATTTTTGTACCAATTTTTTTTCTCGTATGTTTTATGTTTACTGATTTTTTAGATACCTAACCAGGATAATATGCAGCAGATTTAACCCCAGTATTAACTAAACATTTATGGCTCACTGCTCTAGTACGTTTTTTTTTTTTATTTTAAATCGATAAAGAGGAGCAACTACCATCGGTATAGCGGTTGGTTGAGCATTTGTTTGGTTTCCTTCGGTTGCCATCTTATGAACTCACAATATTTCCTCTTAATGAGAGCGTATCTTACTTGCCTCGATTTTGTTCGTTTTACCAAAATTCCTTCTATTTCTTAAGGCCATTTTTCTTGAAATTCACATACCAAAACAATTTTAACTTACAAATGCAACGTCTCTCGGTATAATTTTTTGGCACTACAATAGATACAGTTCGGCTGTGATGTCAAAAAACTGGGCTCAGATGGTATCAATTCCAGTAAAGAACGCCCATCAACACTTTTTTTAGTTTTTTTAGTCCTTGTGAATTTTATATTTGCTGACTTCTTAGATACTTGACCATGATGTGTAGCTGATTTTACTGCAGTATTAAGTAAACATTCATTTCTCACTGCTCTGATACGCTTTTTTATTTTATACTACCTCCTATTTTTTTTTTTAAATGTCATTTTAGTTTTATCAACTATTAACTAATGTCGTTTTAGATCTTTTATACATATTTTTCTATCAATACCCTCATCTAGCCAATAAATACATTACGTC